CACACACAGCCTCTTCCCAATATGCGTTTTTGCAATTTGCATATATGCAAAAACGCATAAAAAGCAGATCATATGGGCTCCAAGATTCATACTTCTTTGGAAGAATATTATTTCCCTGTAAGACACCTTATGAAACCTGAGAATTTCCAGGCAAAAAGCACGTTAGGTGGACAAAAAGGAGAATCTGGCACGAGATAATGAAAATCTCCGAAAAAAATTGCAAAAAATCTCAATGAAAAGCAAATAAATGAAAAAAAAAAATCCAATCGTATGACTGAGCACATATCAGCAAAGAATTTGAGCAGTGCTGGAAGACAAAACACTGTTCAAAAATGCTTAAAAGTGCAGTAAGTATGAGGCAAATGTAACTGGCCCGATAAAAAGATATCTGAGCACATTAGACCATCGAACTGACCATGAGAGGCAATCTTTCGAAATAACAGTTTCATGATATATTCTGTGCTAAAATCATAAATGATATTATCAAAGCAATGTACATCAGCTAGACTAGTTGTGTGGTAAAGATGAAAAACAACAAATGGGTAAAATGGATTACTGAATAGCACACCTATGTGATGTTACAAGTTCTGCAGTAAGATCGGGGATCCATATGAACGTCTATAGCAACACGACTAGAAAACAGAATTGCGATGCTGTCTGCAGACTGCATCGACAGCACAACAAGCGTAGCTGTGAAACAAAATGTCATTAAACTAACAAAGTGAACTAGAATTAGCCCGATCCTAGCAGGAATCCTTAGCGGTATACTGGTCAATAGCTGGCTAACCATGATCTTCCAAAGTTGTCCACAACGTCAGATCACTTCCAGAACAATAGGTCTCGACTTGTTCCAACTGCAGAGAGAATCGAAATGTGCTCAGTCAGAGGGAATCCAAATTGCCTTTACCTTGTTTCTAAAGGAGTTCTCGGAAAAAACTGCTACACTGCCACTTTAATCAATAGGCATTAGAAGCGAATGATCGAATAACAGGCAAGAATCTCGGTTTAATTTTCAAGGCTTCGCCCCAGAGAATTCATGATGCTTTTATGCACTTCGGGCATGCCGAATTAAGCCAACAATGCCAAGCGGCAGGAAATTAATAATTGGAAAATCTCCAAAGAAAAAAATCTCCAGGTGCAAAAGCACCTAAATGTTTTTGTGTGGAATGCTAGTAGCATTAGGATTTTTGTTAGGAAGCGCTCTTCAATCTCCTTTCCGTCGCTGTCCCCCCTCCCCCTCACACCGCTCGAACTTTTTTCCTGTTTCATAGTTTATATGAAAAAAGCAGGTAAAATAAATGTTTTAAGAATTCAACATAACATCATCAAGAAGGTAGGCCACTGGAGCTGCAACAAAACGACACGATGAAAAAAGAACAACACATTCAGAAACAAAAAAAAACCCTAAAAGTACCCAAAAACTGCTAGAAGAACTGAGCAGAATAGAAACATTTGACTGGAATGCACAATTCAGCATTTCAAAGAAAATGTATTCGACAGTGTGGTCGGCATAATGCTGCTAATGCAGTACCATTCAGACCGAATTATCATTCGAAAAGGTTCTTCCTTTGCCGGAGGAGGAAACGGTAACGTTGCTGGCCTCCGTCGCGCAAGCAACTATTCAGCGCTTAACACTGACCGTTTTCGGAATCAGCGTATCGGTATGTCTGGTATTTTTTGTACTGCTCGAAGTACAACTGCCAGTCGACGATGTAGTCGTTCTCCCAGCGGTACATCTCCTGCTTCCAGCGCATCACCTGATCACCTGTGTCTGCTGAAAATTTGCTGCATTCAATCTGTCTTGAATATCCGCGAAGGTCCGGCACAAACTGATATGTTTGCGATTCTCGATCAAAATAAGCGAAATGTAGATCACTTTTAAACTAGTGGCAGAAGATATGCCGCAAATTTGGAATTAGGGGTAAAATTTTGTCCCCGCAATCTCAGATTTGTAAATCTGCAACATTTCGCAAACACAGTTACAGTATCTTCTTTTCTTTGTTAGCAACTGAACCGTATGCAGTGATGTGGGGATGATGATTATCTCCCTGTCCTAAATAAGCATCTTCAGGGAAGTCGAGGAAAACTTACCCTCCGATCTTTTTAACTATAAGCTGCTTATTTGTTAGCACAACTGTTTTTATTATTTTTATGAAGCCAAGTATGTGCAAACACTCTTGTCTTGCAACAGTGGGAGTGAGGAAGTCCGCCATAATCTATTCTCATCCATCAAAAGATGAGCAGTGGGTTGAAAACGCAGTCCACGGCCGTATCATCAAGCTGATTAGTTCCTGATAGCCGACAACCGATAAGTGATGTAGTGTTTGATGATAAAACAAACCAACAGCAGCCATCAGATTTGGCAGTAATTTCTTCCAAAATGAGCATTGTTTCCTTCGCGGTCCAACTCCAATCCGAGAAGCGCCTGCGCTATAATCTGATTCAACAGTTAGATTTATATACTGCATACTAGCCTGCGTATACATTGGCCACACATCTGCCGTATAAGTCCCATCTGGATTTTTATTCGGATTCCTGTAAAGCAGCAATGTATAGAATAGCATTAAGCACGGGCGATTCTGCACATACACAACAGATATATTAACTGTGATATACATGTAAAAAAACGCAAAATTATGTTAAAAAATAATTGGCCAACGCACGGGCTGTCCGTGCGAAGCTGCGTTTTTTGCACAGCTCCCCGCAGATTTTTGTCGCTAACGGCACTGGTTTTTCTGGCAGATGCTTCTAGCTAAAAGAATTTCAGACTGGCCGCCAGGACTGTCAGGGAACATCCCTTCAAGATCTCAGTCTTCTAGTCTCTCACTTTCACGAGTTAGCAAATTACCCGGTAGAAGCTTTCAAGGGCCCGTACGTAGGCACCACGCTTACGCTTACCCGCGAGCAGGTTTTGAACTCGTTAGTACCTCTTTGAACGGGGAACACTGCCCTAAGATTTCAGCTTTCTAGCTTCTCAGATCCCCGAGTTGTGAACTTACCTGAAAAAATATTGGCGGGCTCGTGTGCGGGTACCACGCTTACTCAGGGGAAGGGTTTCAGTGCATTAC